ACCCTGTTTTTTAATTTATTTTAATTTATTTTATTTATATAGATATTTATTTTATTTTATCGATTGTTGTCATTTTCGGGCTCCTCACGCTGCTCCCTCTCTCTGTCCCCCTTCCCCAGGTACAGCACTTGGGAACCCGAGGAGAACATCCTGGATGCCCGGCTGCTCGCAGCCTTTGAGGAAAGGTACAAGGCCTTTACTCGCCGTAGTCCTTGTGCTTGTAAATAGGTTGCTGTCTTGTAGCTATGCTGAATTGAAGCTCTGGTTTTTTTAACACCTCTAGGGAGCGAGAAATGGAGCTATATGGGCCCAAAAAGCGAGGCCCCAAGCCCAAAACCTTCTTGCTGAAGGTAAGGAAGCCGGAGTCCCGCATGTGCCGGAGCGGGGAGTGGGTCCCTGTCTGGCCCCCGTGGAGGACGCTCCTGGCAGGGGCGGCCTCTCCTCTCGTAAGTTGTAATTACGCAGCCGGATGGCAGGATAATAGAGTCACCGGTTGATTTATCTTCTTTGCAGGCCCAGGCAAAAGCAAAAGCCAAAACCTATGAATTCCGCAGCGACTCTTCCAGGGGGATCCGGGTGCCGTATCCTGGCAGGTCCCCCCAGGAGGCTAGGGAAGGACTCAGAAACATAGCCCTGGCCCCCCAGGGCAGCTCCAGCACCAGCACCCCCAAGGGAGACGGCATCCGGGAGCGGGTGATCCGCGTGGAGGAGAAACCTGGGGACACCCCAAAAAAGAGGGGCCCGAAGCCCAGGAAGGAGCTTTACAAGGACCTGGCGGAGACGCTGGATTCCTCCAAGAGGAAACTGGGGGAGCCGGGGGACAAGGTGGGGGACTACCTGAAGGCCAGGAAGATGGAGGAGGCGTCAGCCGGGGCGACCAAGTTTGGTTCGGGACACAGCGTCATCCAGCTGGCCAGGCGGCAGGACCCCGACCTCCCCAGCACCCTGCCCGGCCCCAACCGAGCCGAGGGGGCTGCCAAGCTTGGAGCCACCGAGCCCTACCCGCCGCGGCTGGCCAAGCACCGGGCAGACTTTCTGGACCCCAAGGGGCAGGGGGGGCTGGACCCCGGTGGGCCCAAGCTCCTGCACGGTGCGGTCAGCCCGGGCACCGTGGGCAGCCTGTACCGCGACGGTGTGGGGGGCCAGGCAGGGCGACCCTCCCTCATCGCCCGCATCCCTGTCTCCAGGATCCTGGGAGACCCCGAGGAGGAGTCCTGGAGCCCCTCTCTCAACAACCTGGAGAAGGTGGTGGTAACTGATGTGACCTCTAACTTTTTGACCGTCACCATCAAGGAGAGCAGCACAGACCAAGGATTCTTTAAAGAGAAGCGATGAGTTTGTCAGAGGTGG